AAAGATAGTAAGATAGATGGGTTTTAAAAAGAATTGACTGAATTAGATAAAATTTTAACTGGTACTGAAGAGAGGATGATTAAAAAAATTTATGGTTATTTATTAGGAGTGAAATTAGAAGAAAAACAAATTAAAGAAACGATGATTGCTTGGGGGAAAAATTTGGATATGGGATAGATTTGGATAAATGGCAGAAATTATGGGCTAGAAACTATAAATTAACAATGTCAACAGCTTATAAAGAGAATTTGTATGTTTTACAGGTGGCATTTACCCCCTGGCAAGAATAGCAAAGATGTTCAAGGACAAATCGGGCGAAATGTTTGAAATGTCATCAGATACCTGGATCATATTACCATATGTGGTGGACATGTGCAGAAGCTAAAAAATATTGGACTAAAATACACACATGGCTGGGAAAAATGATAAAACTGCATATAGATTTAAAACCAGAGATCTTTTTATTGGGGATCCTATCTGAAGGTTATAGTAAAGAAATAACATATCTGATTATTAATGTTTTAACTGGAGCTAGAATTGTATTTGCTCAAAGGTGGAAAAATGAGAAAATTCCAATGGAGAGGTGATTAAGAAAATTAATGGAGCAATTAGAGAGCAAGAAGAAAAGGAGTATTATAAGATTTGGGATTTATTTTACCAATGGCTAGATAGAAGAGTAAGAAATTGAAATATATTGTAATAGTAATGATATATTATAATTGATTATTTTTGAATAAGTTATATTATGAATATAATTTCGTAAGAATTGAGATTTACTTTTAAAGATAGCCTGGAAATAAAATTAAAATTTTAATGATTGTATGACAATGAGATAATATGATATGAAATGTTGATGAAAATATAATACAAATGCAAAGTTAAGAGGAAAGGATTATAGATATTGTGCACATGATACATATACCAAACTGACACACTGTACAACTGAAAAATGGTTTTATTTGTTGTTTTCTGTTATAAAAATAAAAAAATTCAAAAAAAGAAAGAAAAGTAATATGATATAATGAGAGAGAGAGAGAGAGGTCAAAATATATTTGTACTGCTGTGAAGAATATTGGAAATGGTGCCATTGGAGTCGAGGACTGCGAGCTCTGCAGCCCTGCTCTGAGCTTTTCCTATCGGAAGGCTCCAAGAAGAGCCATAGCCACCCTATAGTGGTAGTGGCCTTGCAGGTTGAAGAGAGTCACATCTCTCACCCCTGACTTTGCAAATTCCCCTCATCCAAAGACAAGGAATAGTGGCGGTTAACATGGCTGGCATGAAGCTGGGACCAGCCAGAATACCCAAGGTAGTGCAGGAGCGAAGAGAGCAGTGAACAGATTGTGTTGCTGAGTGAGATAATTGTTCTTATTTTAAAAGTTACCCTGAAAGGGGGGGAAATCCTAGAAGAGACTCTAATAACTTTGCAAGTGGTGGAAAATAATTTTAAAGACACTTATGCTGAAAAGTAAGTTGAGAGCGCCATCTACAGATCAAAGAAAAAGTGACTCCTAGACTCCTGTAAATTTAATATTGGGAGACTAGAATAAAAGATTAAAACTACAGAGCATATTTAAAAGTACTTGGAAAATATTTTGGATCATTATGTATTGAGTAAATGCTGGAATTGGTCCATTCGGATAACTAATTTTGTTTTGAAAGAAATAGAGGCTGAGTGAAATAAATGTCTGCTGGAAAGAATGCAGCATGGGAAGCTGAAAGAGTTTCATTTATTAAACTATAACTATACCTTTAAGATATTGGACTTTTTGGCCTTTGGATTTGATTGAGGCATGATTGTTTATTCCATTCTTATCACTTTTATGACTGGAGTTGAAGGAACAGTTGTGGTAATAAAAGGATTTCTTAAGGAGATGGCCTTGATATTTCAAGATATTTTGAATTCAATGGATTGGAAAGTGGAGGGTATTTTGCAAAGAATGGAGAATAAAGATCAAATGAACTGGTGGAAACAACAGAACAATTGGAGGAAATGGAAATGAAGGTCAGCGAATAAAACATGAACAGGGAAAAAATATGGATCAACAAATCAGAAAATAAAGCAACAAAACGAAGAAGGGGAAGACCAGACAAACGGTAAGCAAAAGGAGTGGAAAGAACTGATGGATTGGCCATATCAACAAACAAATAAAGGATTGGAGCAAAAATTAGGATTGACAAATCAGCTGATAAAGCAAGAAAATCTGAAGAAAACAAAACAGATAAACCAACAATTGCAGAGACAGGAAGATGCCCTTGACAATGTGATATAAATCAAGTTGACAGAAGACCAGGAACAATAAAGAGTTTGTTTATTTAAGAAGTGCTTGCAAAGGCCTGGACCCCTTCTCTTTTTGATAAGGAGATAGAGATATTTTTCACAAGCATGCTGGAGATTTTTACACACTTTCAGAAGCCTGATCCTATTATCATCTCCTTATCCTGTTTGCTAATTACTAGGTCATTTTCCAGTAACCACTACTGTCTCAATCATCTCATTTCCAGTAAACTCCATCCTTCTGGCCTAGCCCCAATCCTGTTTGGTATAACCTCCATTCTCGGAAGCTTCTACTAATACCAACATTTATTAATTTTAGCATAACATAGCACAACACTGAACAGTGTGACCTGCCAAATATATGACCTGCTACAATGTACAAAACAATCTTGTTTTCATTAATACAAAGAATTATATACATTTTACTTAATATTCCAGTAAAGTCTCTTAGGTCATCTGTAGGGTAAATATGGTGTTACTTATGGCTTTATATTTTTACAGATATAATCCTTCATATGTAATCCTACATATCATAGACAAGGAGATTGGGATATGGGCAGATAATTGAGAAAACTAGCAGCATTAAGATTGTATTGGGAGAAATGTTCAGAATGAACAAAAAAGAGATAGATGAAGATAAAGATGAGGAGTGTGGGAGGTGAATTAAACAATGGATAAGAATTGAAGCCTTAAAGAGAAGAGAGGATGGATAGGAAATTGCCCTATAAACATTAAAGTAGCCTGATTACAAGTTAGAGAGGCAGAAATAAAATTAGATAGGGGAAATATTAGAACATAAATTGTTTATAGAATGAATAAATAGAAAGATTAGAAATCTGATGTTAGCTTATTTTATGTATGTTTCAGATTAACAATGTTAGCGTGAACTGGATTAATATGAAAGGAATTTAGTTAAATTCATTTAGATATAATAGAGAAATGTTTAGATTGAATAAGGAAGACCCAGATGAGGGCAAAGATGGATTTTTTTTTTGCTTATGTATATTAGATGATATAAATCTAATTAGTGTGAGAGAAATTATTAATGTTAGCATGAATTGGAATAATATGAATGATACTTAATCAAACTTCTTCATACTGTTATTGTGAACCACTATGAAAAAATGGATAAAAATAATGTAAGGAGGATTACATAAATTTGATAAATCTGAGAGACTACTAACAGTGTTAGCATGAATTGAACCAATTTGGAATTAAAATTAGTTAAATTTGCTTATATATAAAAGAGAAATGTTTAGATTGAATGAGAAAGATATAGATGAAGATAAAGAAAATGAGTTAGGCATTTTTTGCTTATATATAGTTGAAAAATTGAATGACTTAAATTGGATAAATGTAATAGAGATTACTAATACTGTTAATATGGTTTTGATTAATATGAATGATACCCAGAACCAACTCTGTTCATACGCAATATGGATGTATAACTAAAAAATAATAAAAATATATTTTAAAAAAATATTGGAAATCATTTTATACTTCCCCCCCCTTTTTCTAGTTTTCCTTTAGGTTTTTTTTTCCTGTTTAGTACCTTTTGCTTTTGCTACATTATTTTTTTATCATCCTCATTTTGTGTTAGTTTGTGTTAGCTTTTATCTTCTAGTTTAAAAGTTTTAATAAAAAATTTACAAAAAGATCATCTTCAGAGGACTTTGACCTGGTGCCCTTGTCAGATGGAATGAAATAAGATCAATGCTAAGAGGAGAGTTATCCCAATTCTGGAATGGTGTTTGGAAAGAATATGCTTTCTAAATATGTTTTTTGCATATAAAACAGAGAGAAAAAGAATTAAGCAATAGAAAAAGAAAGCAATGCAACTGCAGTGATATGTATTCATAAAATATACTTTGCATTTTACTCTTATTGGCTGGTTCTGATGATTTAAATTCTATGCAGGAATTGAAGTACTTTTACTGAATTATCATACTAATTATAGTTCATGTCCCTCCTGGCTTGTTGAAAGTTCCCAGGAGGTGACAGGTGGGTGGTGATCAATGCTTCACTATAGGAGGGAGCAGTGCTCCAGCACTTTAAGGAGGCCTTCTTTTTAAGAAGCCATCCCTGGATTCCACCCTGTTGGATAATTTCCAACCTATCTCCAATCTCCTCTTTTTGGGAAGCAGCTCCAGAGGTTTCCGGATGAAACAGATTATCTAGACCCCTAACCAGTCAGGATTCAGGCCTGGATATGGGACAGAAATAGTATTGGTCGCACTTTTTGATGATCTCTGGTATGAGCAGGATGGGGGTAGTGCATCCATCCTTGCTCTACTTGACATCTTGGTGGCTTTTGTTACCATGGTATTCTTCTGGAGTAGCTTCAGGGGATGGGAGTGGGAGACTGTACTATTCTGGTTCACTTCCTTCCTCTGCAGCTGCTCAGTCAGTCTTGATAGGAGGGAGAGATTCAGCCCTTGCCCACTGCTTTGCGGTGTTGTCACCGGGGTGAAGGGGGGGCTATTATTTTATTATTTTATTAATTTATTATTTTCTTCTACTAGTTTTAAAAAAATATGTTTTTATATTCGTGTAAGTTGCCTTGAGTCGCCATGTGTGAATAGGCAGCAATATAAGTTTTCTAAAATAAATAAATATCACAATTGTGTGTACTAATCTATAGTTGTATACAAATCTCAATTGTATAACAGCTGTCCATTATATTTAGATTTTAAGAGCACAGACATTATTCAATACAAATATATACCTCAAGTATTTCTTCATACTTTTTCACTGTCCTTTGCAGATCATCATCCTTTTCTGAAATCTTTTTGTGTAGTTGAACCGTTTCTGTATGGTGACATTCTATCAATTCGGATTCCACTTCTTGGGCTTTACCTGTTTAAAAATATGCAACAATGTTACTATGATTAGGTTAATACAATTAGGTTTCTATTTTAAATCTTTATCAGCAATAGCTAAAAAGTAAATAGCAATTACTATACCTGAAGAAATTTAAAAAAGAAAATTTAAAAGAAAACAAGTTAACAGGTATTCTTTGCAAACAAGCCTGTGATTAATCTGTGTGCAAGGTATTGCAATATCTTAAAACATTATTTTATAGCTATTTAGCAACTATTAGCAACGAGTTAATGGCTGCTTTCCTTAATAAAACTTCACATTCAAAGGGGTTTAACAAATAGCACTAGTTTGTTTCTGTTTTCTTTGAAAAATAAATGAACTTCTTCCAGCATATCCAACAACTAAGGCACAGTATCAGCACCAAGAACTTGGAGCTCTTTGCATCTCAAGTCAAAGATTATTGAAGTGCAACACCTTAACAAACTAATCTGTATAATCTTACAATTTATCTGATCTCTTAGATTTTTATTTCCTAAATTCCTAAATTCCAGACATCTTCAAACCAAATAAAAATATTCCTAAGCAGAAATAGTGATAAATCCTCAGAAAATTCAAGGTTATTTTTAAATCATAAGGTTTTTTATTACAATCATAAGAACTGCAAATAGAAATACATTAAAAGTAAAAACAAAATGAGGTAAAATATTACAATTGGTGATACAATTCAGGATTCTCCTGAATCCTAAATAAATTAATAAAGGAAGTTGATGGAAATAAATACTTTTGTTCCTATTCTTCCTTACATTTATCCAAATGACTATATAATAGGCCTTCCTGAACAAGATTTTTATACTTTATGCTATTTTCCTATTGTTTATAAAAAATCACTTCTGCTCCAGGAAATGAACTGTAGGCAATAAGAGATGGCCAGGGAATGAATAACTGCAAGAAATGTTATTTTTGTTACTTTAGAGTGAACAAAAGACAAATGTTATTTTCTCTATTACTAAGGGTTCATTAATCTCTATTCTGTTATTACTTTAATTTGTATTAAGATTTCACTTTAACATTAAAACTCTTTTCTTCATTTCATTAATATCTTTTTCTGCCTGAACATTGTTTTTTTTAACTTTATTGTTCTTTTCCTTTATTGCTCTTCCTACCTTAGCAAGCTTGCTGATCTTTACTTCTTGATTGTATTATTACTTTGCTTCTAGATTTTATTATTTAATAAATCTTTCTCACTCTTCTTCCCTCTGCAGTCACTGGCTTTTTTGGTGCCTTTTTCTTATGTGACTGACTTCGGAGTTCACAGCCATCAACTCCTCTCTTCCTTGTTGGAGTTTCTCATGTATCATTCTCCAGAACATGTGTTGACAAGTCTTCTCATATTAAAGCAATGCCATTTGAACTAGGCATTTTTCAACTACTTCTCCATTCCTTCTTCATTCTCTAGTTTCCTGATAGCTGCAACCATTTTGAACTTTGATTCAGAAAAAGGTAAGCTACTCCTGAGGATACTGTTCAAGCCTTGCCCTCACATGGCCTTATACATGGAACTTCTCTGCATTAGCGATTTACACACCCACATACACATTTTTCTTTTCTGCTTCTCCCAGTTTCAATAAAAGTCTCACCAATTTCCTTCTCTGCACCAAACACATGTCCTCATCTCATCTTCTGTATTTCTCCTAGTCTTTTAGGTGCTTAAATTCTTTGAATTCTATTTCTTTTTTTCCTTTTTCTTCCTCAGTTGTCAAATGAGGAATAAATTGGTGGTGTGTGATGCCATTTGCAGTCCATAATACCTGCAGACCATCATGTCAAAAATACTACCCAAAATTCTCTGAAAAAAAAATATATATTTGATATTTGTAGCATTTGAGGTGTACGAAGTACATCACTGTAACTTACTGATAGTTTCTTTTACAGCCATTTCTAATTCCTGATCCTTTTGTGCCAGTTGGGTATTGAACTCCCTCATTAGCTGCTTTAATGTAGAATTGTGCTTCAATTCAATGTCTTCCTGTTCATATCTTTTAAGATATAAGAATATAAGAAATTAAGATATTTTTAGCTCAAGCATTATGCTAAAAAACTCTAAAATATTTCTTACAGATTAAATTGGGTAACAAACCTGTTAAAATAATTAAATTTTATTATTTTTCCATAAAGGCGTACGTGCTAGCTGTTTCCAGCTCTAGGGGGCGGTACTCATCTCCATTACAAAGCTGAAGAGCCAGCGCTGTCCAAAGACATCTCCATGGTCTTGTGGCTAACATGACTAAATGACTAAATGCCAAAGGCGCATGGAATGCTGTTACCTTCCCACCAAAGTGGTCCCTATTTTTCTACTTGCATTTTTACATGCTTTTGAACTGCTAGGTTGGCAGAAGCTGGGACAAGTAACAGAAGCTCACCCCGTTACGCGGTACTAGGGATTCAAACCGCCAAACTGCCGACCTTTCTATTCGACAAGCTCAGCGTTTTAGCCACTGAGCCACCACACCCCTCCATTTTTCCATACAATACTTATAAAAATGACATCCTTTAGATTTTTACCATAGTGAAAATGTAGGAAAGTACTTGTATAATGTAAAAATATATTATATTCATGTGTATGTAGTTCAAAAAAGGTGACAATTAAGGAACAATGTAAATAGAATATAATATAAGTAAATATATTTAGGTGTGACTATAAATTGATATCAAGCAATTTTAAATATAGTGTCTTAAACATACATCTCAAATGATTAATTGCTGGAAATAGACTATACATGTATTCAATTGTTTTGTATAAATTTAAGCTTATATCTGATGGTTACATTCCTATTATTATATCTTAGCTCATAAGCTGAAGGTTGAATTCATCTTTTACTTACTTATGTGCTCCTTTATATAATATGCAATCAGAAATATAAGTTTTTAAATAACTTCTGGTTTTTATCTGAACTTTGTGAAGTTCAAATTTTTGACATGTTTTAAAGCAAATAGACATCTTTTATTTCATAAAATGGGAAAGTATGATAACATATATATTTTTAGATGTGATCGCTTAATTCACAAAGGAAAGAGTACACTGCACATGCAAACAACACATTTTTTCATAACTGGACATTTTACTTTGAGAGATGTTCATCCAACCTGAGATTTATTTTCTATAAAAGTGTTCAACAGATTTAAAAAGCAGGATTTACCTGCTAGATAATATATATATCCATTTTTTGAAAATAATGCTAATCATATACTTGATTTCATTCAGTTTTATTCTATATACATTTCAGTAAAGAGTTAACAGTTACTTAATGGCAACTTACTTTATTTTTTGTTCCATTTCTTCTCTAGATTCTTTCTTCATAATTTCCAGCTCTTGCTGATGTTCTTTCCGCAAGGTTCGCAAATCTTTCTGAAGCTTAATCAAATTTCTGTGCTGTTCCTGTTTCTCTTGCTCTGTATATTTCAGTGTAGTTTGCAAATCTTTCTGTTGTATCTGCATCTCATCAACCATCTTCTGAAGTTCAAAGACTGATTTTGTCTTTTCTTCTATATTTCCTTCCAGAATTTTTATAAGGCCACTTCTTTCATCTACCTGCTCTTGCAGTCTATTTAATTTCTCATCATATTCTGTAATCCTATTATCCACATCAATCCTGTATTGTTGTCTCTCTTTCATAAAATCTTCACCAAATTGATGTATCTGTTGTTGTAAAGGTTGTCCTTCTTCCTCCTTTTCTTGAAGCTTTTTTTCTAAGTCTTTAAGTGCAAATTCCATATTTTGTTGATTTTCTTCTTTGTTCTTCAATTCTACTTTGATCTTTCTTAATTCACTCTCATACTTGGTATGTTGTTCAAGTAATGAAGCATGTTTCTTGATTTGTTCCTCAAGTTCTCGTTGAAGATTTTCAATTTTATTTTTATCTTCTTGAGCTCTTTTAAGTTCTTGCTGATTCTGAGTTTCCATTTTTGAAATATTATACATATTTGCTTCCTCATTATACTTCTCAAGTAATCTCTCCTTCTCCAATAAATCTTTTCTTAAAATATCAATTTTTAAATCATACATCTGTTTCATATTCTCTAAAGCATGGACTTTATCTTGCTCTGCAGAAACTTTTATTGTTTTTACTTTTTGTATCAACTCTTTTTCTAAATCTGAGTGTACTGATTGAATCTTTTCTTCTAAAGACATAATTTTCTTTTCTTTTTCTTGCAATTTTTTTTGTAGCTTATCTTGCTGCTCTTTTTCTTCCATCTGAATCATCAACTGCCTTTTAATAGAAGCAATTTTGTTTTCAGCCTTTTTTTTCAGATCTGCTATTTTAGAAGTTGTTTCTGAAATAAGCCTTTCTTCTAAAGCCTTTAATTCTTCTTCTTTAGTTTTCAATAGAGCCAATTTTATTTCTTCAAATTCTTTTGATTTTTCTTCCAGGTCAATTTCCATAACCTGCATTTTCTTCTCAAAAGTTAGGACTTTTTGTTCCATCTCCTTCAGCTTGTCATTCTTGTTGACTATTGCTTCCTGAGCCTGTTGGAATTGTTGTGCCATTTCTTTTTGCTCACTGTCTTGTTCACGGTACTTTTTACATTCTTCCATTAAATAATCATTTTCCATTGTTTTCCGAGCAATATGCTCTTCTAATTCAGCAATTCTCGCTGAATGGATTTTTATCTCAGCAACCAAATCAGATTCCTGTTTTTCTTTTCTGAACTGCTTTTGTTCCATTAAGCTTTTTAAATGTTCTAACTGCTTGGTTTGCTTATCATGCTCATCCTTCATTCTATTTAGTTCTTCTTCTATTTCACTAACTTGGTTATTAATCAGTTCAATCTTACTTTGTAATTCCTTAATAGTATTATAATTTTGTGTAAATCTCAATTGAGCTTTCTTCTTCCAATCTGATATTTTATTCATCCAATGGTCTACCTGTTTCAGGGCAGTAACTTTATCTTCACTCAATGATTCAACTTTGGAAGATAGTACTTCCATCTCATTCAGTAACTGCAGTTGGTTTTCTTTGTGTTGTTTTTTTAACATCGTTGTGGCAGTTTCTTTTTCTGATATGCTCTTTTCAAGTCTGAGGTTCAGTTCACTAATGAGCTTGTTGAGATCTGTGATTTCTGCTTTTTTCTCATTTATCTCTTCCCTCATAGACGTTACAATATTACTATGCTCAGATAACTCTTTCTTCAGGTCTGTGATACAAGATTCCTTCTCTGTTGCTGTTTGCTGCTGGAGATAACTTTCTTTTTGCAATAGTTCTTTTTCATTTAGAAGTTTTTCCATGTCTGCTTTCATAGACATCATTAAGTGTTCCTTTTCCTCTAAGTGCTTTTTTGACTCCTGTAAACTACTGTTTAAAGTTACATGACTCTCTGTTAACTGTTTAAGTTGAACTTCTAGATCTGGAATTTGATTGATTTTAATAAATATGCCTTCTTTAATTTTTATTGTCTGTTGCTGACAGTGAGCAATTTTAACTATTATTGAAGAAACATTTTCACTGCATTGTTTAATCAGTTCATCAACTTTTATTTTCAATAAAGTTTCTGCTTTTTGCTGGTAATCAGCCAGTTTTCTAATTGTATCTCTCTTGAAATTTTCAAATTCAGCTTGTTTTTGCTGAAACTCATTTCTTTCCCCTTCTAACTTTGTCTTATAATTCTCCTGTTCTTTAAGATGAGACATCTTCAAGGCATGGAGTTCCACATCAGACATTTTCAATTTATCTGCCAGTTCCAAAAGATCATATTTCTTTTTTTCTTCTGTTTTCTTTATCTCATTAAGCTGTTCCTGTACTGTTATTTTCTCCTTCAAAGAAAAATTAAGATCGTCCTTTAATTTTTCAAGTTGCTTTTTTAAATCAGTTTCTTTTTGTTTAAAAAGATTCACTTGTGCTAATGTCTGTTGCAGTTGTTCTTGAAGTTCATGTATGCTTTTGTCTTTCTTTGTATTTTTGTCCTTTAACCATGTAATCTCTGCATTATTCCCTTCTCTTTCAGCATCAAAAGTGGCCAGTCTTTCTTTCAGATCTCTTATTTCCAGCTCTTTTTCTTGCAATTTTGTTTCATGCTTTTCCCAAAGTACTTCAGTCTGTTGATTTAGTTTCTTTTCCCAAAGATGTAAAACTTCATCCACTTCTTGCTTGTGGGCTTCAGCCATGCTTTTTAGTTGTTTCTTCTGATTCATCTCCAGTTTTGAAACAGTATCATTTATTCCAAGTGAACTGGCATGAGCCATTGTCAGCATTTTTGAAGTGAACTGTTTATCTTTCTGACAAAATTCTAACTGGTTGATCTCAATCTCTTTTTTTAGTTTTGCTTCTTTTTCTGAAAGTTTTTGCTTAAATTCTTCCTGCATTTTTTTTACTTTTTCTATGGTTTCCTCTGCTTGTGTTTCTTGCTGCTTTAACTTGAGTTCATATTCGTCTTTTAAAGCACTAATTTCTTCTTCTTTGGTTGATAACAGCTGTCTATACTTTTCAATTTGCTGCTTCATGAAATGCTTTATTTGTCCAATTTTACTTTCATTGCCAATACAATGACTTTTTAACTGACTGATCTCTTCACCAAGGTTTCTTAACTGTGATTCATACTTTTCTGTCAGAGATGAGATATTCTGTACATTTTTTCTTTTTTCTTCTTCCAATTCACATTTTAGATCATTTACCTGGGATGTCTGAAAATCTAACTCAGTTTTTATTTCATTTGGCTGGATTTCAGTTTTTACAACCAGTTCCTCAAGTTTTGACTTTTTATGCTTTATAACTTCCAATTTCTCTTGCAAACTTGCATTATTTTCTCTGGACTGACATAAAACATCTAATTCTGCAGACATTATTTTATCTTGTGACTCAATTTTTCCTAGAGTTTCTTTCATTTTTTTCTGTTCTGATTCTTCTTCACTTTTCTCTTTTGCTTCCAAGAGTTGTTTGAGGTGAATTATTTCTTCTTTAAATGATTTCTCAATTACTTCCTTTTCTTTAAAAATAGCTTCAACTTGTTCCTTATGATTATTCCTTTGCTGATCAAGTTTTGTCTGAAACTCAACTTTTGCTTTATCTGCATCCTCTTTTAACTTAGAAATATATTGTTCAAGATTTTGACAGGTATTCAGAGCATCTGATAATTCAGATGAAAGTGCTTCTAGCTTTGTTTCTTTGACATCAAAATTTTCTAAAGTTTTGTCATTTATTTCTTGTATATGAGCATGGTATATAGCCTCTTTTTCTTTTAACAGCTTAGCCATTTCTTCTTCACAATGTTTCCTCAGTTTTTCCATTTCTGATTGATGCTGTTGGGTAAATATTTCAAGCTCTTCTCTCCAGTGTTGCTGCTCTTGCTGCTTTACATATTCAATTTCTTTTTTGTGTTTTTCAGTCATATTAGCTATTACTTTACAATGCTCATTTTTGTCTGATTCTGTCTGGGCAACCAGATCTTCCAATTGGCTTTTATCATTTTGTGGACACTTCATAAGGGAATGTTCCAGCTCAAGAATTCTCTGTTAAGAAGATCAGAAGGAAATATAATGAATAAAATAACTTTTTTAAAAAACTGTTATCTACTTAAATGCTATGCATAACAAGATTCTAATAATTTAAATGAAAAAAATTAAATATAAACTTTGTTGCTTCTTATTCTGATGAATGGAATTAAAAACTAAAATCATTTAAAATTGTATTTCTATGTAGATTTGATCTATATAAAATTAGTAAGTATTTCTGGACTTAAAACCTAGAAAAAGAACCTAGAATTATTGCAGTTTGTATAAGTTTATTATGTATTAATTATTTTCTGCAGAAGATTATTGTAAAATTCTCAAACTCTATCACAATAATGACTGAAAAACACAGAAATATGACGAAGAATTTTTTTTTCAAAAAATGTACTATATGAGAAATGAAACCATCCACATGAGGGGTGGAAGGCAGGTGATCCCAATATGCCATGCAGCTGCAGGCAAGCCAAGAGACATGAAGGTGAGCTTCGTGGGGCTGCCTGCCTACTCCAGCCACGAGTTTCAGCTTTCCTGTGGCCCGCATGGCACATCTGGATTATCTGCCTTTCCCCTGCACCTCTGCCTCCATCTGCTGCCTATGCTGCTGCATGAAGATGAGCCTCTCGCGGCCACCCATCACTTTGGCCCACTGACTTGGCTTTCCCGCAGCCCACGCATCCAGATCTTGTGCTTCCCCCATCCCTCCTGCTGCTTGGATAAGTAATCAACTCATCTCCGTTGCATGGGCTTCAGTTGCTGCACTGGCCATGCCCACCCTTCACTAGGGCTTATTTTTGGGATAGGGCTTATATTAGGTGCATACTTAAAAAATAAGTCTAAGGCTTATTTTTTGGGTAGGTCCTATTTTGGAGGGAACATGGTAGTTAATTCAAGGGAAAAAGTCACAAACCTTCCTATAGTATGCTCCCAAGCTGATTAAAGGAACAGAAGAATAAGATAAAGGAGGGTGGAGATGGCGTCGCGGCGGTACAGCGTGTGATCTTTAAGCTCTAAGATCGCTGCTGATATATCCGTTGCAGGACGGTCCCAATGGACCTAAACTGTCCCGTAGAGACGGTGACTGAGAAGGGCACATCCTGTTGATCCCAGGGACATTGCAAAGTCCCTGGTAGATCCAGGAGAAGCCCTTTTTTCCCGCAGCGGAGAGGCAGCCATTAAAGCTGCTGAAGCTGGGACAGCTCCAGAATGGAAGAAAGCTGGAAAGAAAGTGTGTCAGTTTGGTGAGATAATTTTCTACTTGTTTTTTTTCTGGAGAGAACACCCTAAAAGACTAAAATTTAAATTTAAAAGTGAAGATAAAAGTACTCAAGCAGCAAGATTAAGCACAAATTAAACCTGAAGGTTTTTTTTTCTTATTGAAACTTTGGATTTTTGTAAAAACTTTTCAATTTTTAAACTGGACTGGTCTTTCCTTTTTAATTTTAATTTTTTCCTTTCAAAATAACTCTTTGGAAAAGTTTTTTTTCCTCTTGTTTCTTCTCTTTAATAATTTTAGATTCTTTTTATTTTTTTATTCCTGGTTTTAATATTAGAGGGGAAGGGAAAGGAAAGGGAAATAAGTAGTGCTGCCACCTGGAGGCTTGGATATGTTTTTTTCTTTTCTTTCTTGTTGATACATTTGGTGTTACATTCAAGGACTCTGTGCTTTTCATTGAAAAGATAGTGGGAAGAGCATGTAGATTGTTTATGCAGGTGCTCTTCTGTGTAACTACTAATAGCTGGAGTCTGGATTTGAAATTGAAGAAAGAAGATTGAAGTGACCTTGAAAAGAGAACTGGAAATTTTGTTTTTTGATTTAGTAATGAGCCTTGAACATTTAGTGGTAGTGCTTTGCTTACTGACAGAATTGCATTTTCTCTTTCCCTTTTTTTTTTACTCCCCCCCAGTTGGATTTGTTGCAGCAGATCCTGTTTCCAAATCAGGACACAAGACCACGAAGGGTAGGAGAATACAGATTTATTTGCGCAAAAGGTTCAGAGCATTAGCATGGCAAATTCTGAACCCCCGGCTATTCCTGAGGGGTTACTTTTATGCAGCTCCCAGTCTCAGCATACTACAAAAGGGGGAAGTAAGTCTAATTAGCCATTTTGCACAATTCAGCATATAAATACTTATCTTACACCATCTGTTATTTTCCATACCCACCCTTGCCACCCTTGCCATTTAGCTGTTTACAGGAACATATCTAGTTCATAGATCATTATTCTTAGACTTAGATTTAGCAATTTTCTGGTTTTCACAATATCATATTAAGCAACTTCTATAATATTTGCGATATAAGCTAACTTCTGCTAATTATAAGAATACTTTTCTGGTAACTTTCCATTTTGCTTCAGATTTTTATATTTGGACTTGTCCTTCGATGCAGGAATAAGACTACTTTTCTTTTCCTCCCTCCTCCCTTTGTTCTACCTTTTTAGCAAGGGGAATATACAGATCTCTGTCTTTTTAAATGTTTTCCTTTTTTTTATTTTTTCATCCTTTTTCTGTTTTACATTTTTTTTCTTTCTTTTTCTTTTTTTCTACATAATTACAACCAATTGGATTAAGGTATTCAAGTGCCTGAAGATTTTTCCCTTCCCTTTTTTATTTTTAGCTTTTTTTATTGGAGTGGCAGTTGGCTGCTCTTGCTTTTTCTTCTCAATTTTTCTATTAAGCATTCTAAGATGAGCAGAAAGACACCAGCCTCAGCTTCTTCAATCCCGACTTCTACCTCCTCACCATCTGGAGGACAACGATCAATACAGGTGCTGTTACAACAAGAGAAGGAGAAAGAAGTGACACTGCAGATGATTATGCAAGGAATTCAAAAGATACAAATAAAAACAGATAATATTGAAAAGAGAACGGAGAATATTGAGCAAAGAACGGAAAAGAGATGAGAAAATTGAAATATTCAACAGATGATGATTCAATATGAGGATAGAATCAAGAAAATTGAAGAACAAGATGTACAAAGAGATAAGATTGGAGATATGGATACCCGACTGAGTGAAGTGGAAAGAGACAAGGACAGATCTCTGCAATCATTGGGATGGGAAATTGATAGATCAGAATTCTATCTTAGATTTCAAAATATAGAAGAAGAAAAGGGTGAAAACCTTGCTGAAATGATGACAGAAATCCTGGCAGAAGCATTAGAGGTAACTAAAGAGAAGATGATGGATGGAATGGATGAGGTTTTTCGTGTCTATACAAGATATGCAATGAGAAATAAACTGCCAAGAGAAGTTCATATCAGATTTACTAAGAAAATAATTAAATCACAAATACTGCAGGGGGCAAGAGAAAAAACACTAAAGTACAAAGATAAAGAAATAGTGGTACTGAAACAGGTACCGAGAAGAGTGACAGAGATAAGAAGAGAATATTTATCCTTGACCAAAGAGTTACTTAAGAGAGGAATAAATTACAGATGGCTGATACCAGAAGATCTTATGTTTACCTGGCAGGAACAAAGACACAGAATTGATACAGTTGAAAAAGCTGAGTTATTCTATCTGGAAATTTCAGAGGAAGGGAGGAAGATACAAGAAAAGAAGAGTCATTAATTTAATTTCAAGAGGAATGTATAGCAGTAATTGAAAAAGAAGAAGGAGCCATAGGTGGTGTACCCAGAGAGCAACGACAACCAAGATCTACTAGAGCAACAAATCCTTCTTATAAAGTCTAAAATGGATGAGAGAAAACTGATTACAATTAATATAAATGGACTTTTTAGCTACTAAAAGAAGAAAAATGTTTCATAAGTTAGAGAAATTAAAATTTGATATAATCTGCCAACAAGAAGTACACATTAAAAAACAACATGCTTATATATTGAAACAACAAAAAATAGGGAAATTATTTACAGCGTTGACACAGTGTAAAAAGAGAGGTGTTATACATTAGAGGTACAATCCCTGCGGAACAAATATATACAGATGATGATGGAAGGATTTTGATGGTGGAGATAATGGACAATAATCTAAAGATACTTTTAACAGCAATTTATGCCCCAAATGATAATCAAGATTTTTACAGGAAGTTACGTAAGAAAATAATTGAACTTGACTATGTTAATATCTGTCTGATGGGAGATTTTAATGGAACAATAAATGACAAATTGGACTATAAAACATAAAAAACAGCAAAGAAAGCTAGACAGACATTGCCAAAATCCTTCTTTCGAATAGTAGATGAGATAAACTTAAAAGATGCATGGAGAGAAATGCGGAAAATAAACAATATACCTTTTATTCAAATAGACATGCATCATGTTCTAGAATAGATATGATATGGATGTCAATAGAATTGCTTTCTAACATACAAGATATTGAAACAGAAGCAAGTACCTGGGCAGATCACAATCCAATGACACTTGTATGGAAAGGACAAAACAGGAGATCTAGATGGACTTTAAATAATACAATATTAAAGGAAAAACACTTTAAACAGAAATTTGAGAGAGAAGAAATATAAAACAGAAAAAAATCTTTAAAATATTGGAAGATGACTACAAGAAGTTGGAAAAAGAACTACAGAAATTTCCACAAAAAAGGACATTAAAATTAAAATGGACATAACTAAACATAAAATGGGGCTAATGGAAAAAGAAGAAATAGCACAAAAAATTAAAAATGCTAAGCAGAACTATTTTGAAGATGCAAACAAACCAGACAGATGGCTAGCATATAAATTGAGAAAGGAAAGAGACTTGAGAAGGATAAATCAATTGATAAATGAACACGGACATGTATGCTATGGAAATGAGGAGAAGAAAAAAATATTCAAGATTATTATGGAAAACTGTACCATCAAGAGAATGTTCAGGAAGAAAGAATTCAACAATACTTACAGGAAGTAAATTTGCCTCAGATACCCAAAGATATTGAAATAATGTTAGAAAGTAACATAACAATGATGGAATTAACAGAAGCTTTAAAAAAGCAAAACATTGGGAAAGCACCAGGTCCGGATGGTTTGCCAGTGGAATTTTATAA